ATTACTGTACTTAGGTGTTTTTCTAGTATATTTACTCTAGTTGAGCAATTTCTTGGGGAAGTACTTATAACTTTCACTCCACTACATTTCAAAGTTAAATATTGTACTTTTTACTCTAACCCATTTTGAGGAAGCTGCTAGTTACTACTTCCTTTTGACTCAGCTTAGCATTTTAATCTGCTGTTGATGTTTTTCTTTCTTAAAATGAAATTTCTACATGGCAGATAACTGTTTGAGATGTTTGAGAGATTTGCATGATTTTCCAAAAATGTCAGAAACTCAGGGAAGATGTTATTTTTAGGTAATATATTTTCTTAAGGCGTTAGTTGTTGCCATGTTGTTCAGCAGGATGACTTCTCAGATCACGGGTTGTAGTTTCATTGTGGAAATAGATTCAACCTTAAACCTATATTCCATAGTGAAAGTGTGAGGAGAATCAAGACTCTTCTTTTTCTTTTTGGTTGGTTTTAAAATAAGAAATATAATCATTTTTTGTTTCATTTTTATGCTGAAGTTCTTTCCATGTGGTATAGGAGCTGTAGCAGGTGATTTTAAGCATCAATACATCAGGTGGTTTATGAAAAATACAAGGTTCTTTAAAATAACTCTGGAAATTATGCAGAAATATACTGATATTAGAAGAATTGTTTAAAATTTTTGAATACTTAAGTACTTTTAAATGCATATAGTTTTGAATACTTAAGTATTTTCAAAAGCGAGTACTTCAATACTTGCCCAAACGTTTGACTGAGAAACTTTAACTTGGACTACGAGTATTAATACTTTTGCTCAAGTACTAATGTTGAGTACTTTGTCCACCACTGTTTAAAACCATGTATTATTTGGTAAAAAATCTTCATAACATAGCATCATGTGACTTTATGTGTGACTTTTCAAAATACTGGAATACAATTACTGTTTTTTTTTTTTTTTTTTGGCTGCAGGAACTAATGGTGAAAATAAGTCGCACAGCTATTTAACAAGCATGTTCATCAAATTAACCAATCAAAATTCTGGCAGNATCAAATTAACCAATCAAAATTCTGGCAGAGACTGTAACACATAAAAGTACCTGAAATAAATAGGAATTAATTAGAATGATTAGTCAAACATCATCATTCAGTATTTCTATCTGTTATAACCCTCAAATGTGCTCTCAGTTTCTAAAACATACCCTGTGTGTTTTTAAAAAAAGCTGAGTGTTTATCCTTTTTCACTGCCAACATCAGTCGATTTGATCTGTCTCTTCCCTGAAGGAGCATGCTCACCATTCATCCACTAAAGTGAACATTGATCGCACCAGACTGTGTCAGGTTTTTAGTTTGAGATCCATTGTAGCTCTTCTAAAGGATACCTCTCTCTGCTGCAACATTTACTCTAGAAAACCAATTGTGTAGAAACCTAATGCATTGTAGATTTTCTGTCATTATGAGACACATCATGGTTCAGTGTGATCTAAAGCTGAGTTTTTCCGAGCATTTATTTTAGACTTAAACATATTTTACTGGTGTTAGATTATGTGCTGTACCAATAACTGACTCTTTCTGCATCCTTATAGCTCCTTTGCAGACTCCAAAGAACACTACCAAGACTTCCCTTTAAAAAACGGGGGAATGTCCGGAGCTATCGAGATGAAGCGGCCTGTTGGTGCACACTGCCATGGACCCAAACCTTTGGTTGGAGAGGAGAGTGGCGACAAGCTGCTGGCTAAGAAGAAACTTTACATCGCTTCAGCAGTCTGCCTGGTCTTCATGATTGGAGAGGTCATAGGTAAAGAGAGCGCTGAAGATTTTAGAAAAGAAGCCATTTTCTTATTAGCACAGTAGCATTCAGGATANAGGATACATATATGCAGTACTCGAGTTGAGGGGGGAACAGGGGGGATGCATCCCCCTTCTTAAAAAAATCGTAAAAATCATCCCCCTTTCTTAAATATGACATTTTACTACTGAATGTAGTAAAACAAATGAAATCAAATAAGTGTCCTACCATGACTATGAAGCTGATCCCAGTGGCTAATTAGTCCCTAACTATGTAGGGAGGCAGTGATAGCCATGCCAGTCCAGGTACTGACTGCAGTTCTACTTTAAGGTGCCTTGGTCAAGGTCAATGACCGGCGTACCTGACCTGTAACAACCATACCATGCATATTGCTTCAGGTTAATAGATTACATTATTTAAGCTATGTATGCTTCAAAAAAAAAAAAAAATTCCTCCATCCCCCTTCTTTTGTTGAGTACTGAATATAGGCTAATTTTAAAAAGCTTAAATCTGCCTGTCTGATTTATAAAGTTATAAATGTTCTGTTCCGCAGCGTCTGCCGTGAAGCAGGCGCTGTACCGGTCCGTTCGTGGTGAAGAGAGAGCTGAGTCAAAAAGCGAAGCTCTCGATTTACCGGTCGATCTACGTTCCTACCCTCATCTATGGTCATGAACTCTGGGTCATGACCGAAAGAACGAGGTCGCGGATACAAGCGGCCGAAATGGGTTTCCTCCGTAGGGTGGCTGGGCTCTCCCTTAGAGATAGGGAGGGACTCGGAGTAGAGCCACTGCTCCTCCACAGCGAGAGGAGCCAGTTGAGGTGGCTCGGGCATCTGATTAGGATGCCTCCTGGACGCCTCCCTGGTGAGGTGTTCCGGGCACGTCCCACCGGGGGTGGCCCTGGGGAAGACCCAGGACACGCTGGAGAGACTTCTTAAGCTGCTGCCCCCACGACCCGACCCCGGATTAGCGGAGGAAGATGGATGGATGGATAAATGTTCTGTTCCTTCCACCACTAAATGACTTTAGTAAAAAGAAATTCCCCTGTGGGTCAATGTTCCATGTAACTAGAGGTGATAGTGACCTTATATTTAGACAGGCATCATTTTCATTAACGTCATCTCACTTCAGGGCTCAGCCTTTCTGGAATAACATAACTGTTTTAGTGAGGGAAAGTTTTCAAACTACATTTAAAAAGACATTTAAAATTTTAGACTCAAACATTTGAACATGATTTTTGGAGAGCAGAGGAGGAGAGAAAAAAGAAAGGACTCATAAAGCACCTCCTTATCTCTGTAAAGGGCACTTTTGCATATTTTTTAAACAACCCCCCCCCATACACGCCACTGGTGAGATCAGTTCAATATCACAGAGAGCAGTGCAATACAAATAATTGACTTTCTTTTTTTTATATGTAGACATTGACATATGGACATATCTGCTTCAGGCACATTCTTGTAAAGTTTAGTGTTGTAAATACCTCATTTGTCTGGGACATCCACCTGCCTGTTGGACTGCAGATCAAGATTAGGCTAAAACTGTAATCTGGAGTATTTATATTGTCTAATGTTCATTAATATGCACTGTCCTGTTTTTCTCTAAATTTAGGATTTCAGATATTATACTGAAATATTGTGAGAAAAAATTGAAAAGTATATAATAAATATAACTTTGTTTTTAGATAATATGTATGAATTTTAGGGTTAACCTTGATCGATTTCTTTATTTTACAAAGAAAATCAATCTTTGTTTCTTTCTCCAATAAAATGCAGAAATTTTTTTTTTTTTTCTCTGAATGGTTGATTGGTCCTGATAGTCCTCCCCAGTAGACAATCAGTGCAGTCATAGCTTCTGGGGTTCAGCATCACTTTGCTGTTACATAATCTTGATTTAGATCTTTGTAATCTAGCCAAAAAGAACTTGTCTTGGCAGACGTATAATTGGTTGAGCTTAACGGATGTCCTGATTTTGCAGCTAAAATCTCACTGTACCTTCCAATTACAGTTGGCTGTGGGTGTTTGTGTGTCTATTTGATAGTTATGTATACTACAAGACGTGTGCAACCTGAAGAAAAAAAAGAAATAAGGTGTCAGTTTAACTTACTTTGTCAAGAGCTCCCAACAGATTTTGGAATAGTTCCCAAAAATAACCATTTTAAACAAATTTGAGAAAGTTAAAAAAAAAAAAAAAAAAGATCATCTTTATTAATGCACTAACTCTGTTTGAAGCGTACCTTTTTTTTCCTCCATAAGATTAGTTGCTCAGGTGGGATTTATTAGAGTCTTCAAGTAAACTTCTGCACACAGTTTGTTACAAAACGGCAAAACATAACCGTTCTTGAGCTTATGCAGATGTGATATGTGCATTATGTATATATTGTAAAACATATAGTTTATTGCTTAGTGCTGACATTCTTTTGCTAAATGCACAAATACTAAGTCTCATTCAATCAAAAGGTAAAACCTGAGGTAACTGTGTCATGCTTTGGAGAAGCTCTTAAAATGCAACACTAAAGATAACCTTTTTTAGTGATTTCTTTTTTACTTAGAGGCTGTTGTCCATCTTATAAACCAAGAATTAAGTTTGATCTGTAATAATGGTGGTATGCATGGTTTAAAGTTATTTTTCTTGTGTCAAACAGGAGGCTATCTGGCCCACAGTCTTGCCATCATGACTGATGCTGCTCATCTCCTCACTGATTTTGGGAGTATGATGGTGAGCTTGTTCTCCCTGTGGATCTCCTCCAGACCTCCCACCAAAATCATGAACTTTGGTTGGCACAGATCAGGTCAGCAAAAGAAGACAGATGAATCTCTCTGTGTTGATTTTATCATACAGTAGGAGATAAGAACCAAAGTAGTGTTTGTTGCTTCAAACGTTCATGTAACACTGTTTGAATTCATTTAGGAGAAAATTAGTCATAGTTAAAGTCCACCCTGTTTATGTGCAGTGAAGTGACAAATCCTTGCTTCTGCTTTGCTTCCAGAAATCCTTGGAGCGTTCATCTCCGTCATATCCATCTGGATCGTTACAGGAGCTCTCGTCTATTTAGCTATTGAAAGGATTGTACGAAACGACTACGAGATTGAGGGGCATGTAATGTTAGTCACTTCTGGATTCGCCGTCATTGTAAATATTGTGTAAGTACTTCATTGCTTAATAGCTGTAGACATAAAATATTGAAAGACACTTATTATGCAAATCACTGTGGTGTTAATATACAGAGTTTAAAACTTACTGAAAATTTAAATCAATGTTTTTTTTCCAAATCAAAATTTATTCAATTCGAATGAAACAGACCATCTAATAATTAAGGTTTAAAAGTCTGAGATTTTTGAGAATATCTTAAAAGTTGTTAAATATATATATAAAAAAAATTATTTGACATTATATATGAACATATTTGTCATTATTGATCCTCATACTCTGAGTTTTTTTTGTTTAGCACCTATCATGTTTTGTTTCTTATGCCTGATCATTCTCAGTATCTTTCTTTAGTTGCTGTTGTGTTTTTGGTTTCAATCTTTGCCTCTGCCTCAGTGTTCAAAGTTATTGACCCCACCAGCTTCTTGCCAACCAGTTCTCCTAGTTTTTATCTGGTTTATTTACGGTACTCCTTATGTGTAAATACTCTTTGAATACAAAGCTTAACCAAGATTGTTTTTGCTTCACCTTGTGCTGTAACTGTTTACCTAAACTTAAGTCTTCCAGTCACCAAGCTGCGTCTGCAGAGCAAGTATGCCTGCCATTAGGTTCATTCCATTTAACTCCTTTTGTCAGCTTTTGTATACTAGCATGACAATATTTGGCAGATTTTCTGCAGAACTACAACCTCATCTAAATTAAGTAGGATGTCATTTTTATATTTACTTCCTCATTTCCATCTAAATCAATCAATCCAGATAACTTCCAAAGTGTCTATTTTTTCTTTATGTGAGAATGATTTATTATATAATATCAAATTATATGGTATGTCTATTGGATTTTTAGGTGAATGAGATGTTAATGTTTTTTTTGTAGCAGGTTTTCTATAGTTGTCTGTTGGATAAGTTTGGGGGAAGAACATCCCGGACAAGCCCCCAATAAATTTTATAAGTAATCCAGCATTCAATTTATAGTATAGTTGGAAACTATAGTCACATTTAGAAAGACATCTCACCAAATGTAACCATGTTAGTAAATATGTCAACTATAATAAAACTAAAGAGAAAATACATCTAGAATTTTAAGCCAAATGTAACTTATTTCTTAATTATTGTATCAATGAGTTTAAAAGGTTGGTCATAGCTGTCACTGACTGATTTAGAAGGACACTTCCATTCAAAGATATTAGAAATATATTATTATTGCGCTTCTTTTATGTGTTTTAAGTGTGGCAGGCCAAATGAAATAAAGGTTTATGGAGGATCGAGCACAACTACATAGAACTTTAAAGTCACATACTGATCTTTGATGTTACATTATCGGCCTGAATGTTCTGCAAGAAAATATAACTCAATGTGGTTCCATTAACTATGTAAATCTGTCCTGGTCCTGAAGCTAAATAACAACCCTGGTTCATAACAGACCACCTTGTTTTATTCCTGGTGAAACAGTTTGAAAAGCTTTTATTTTACTCCACATGTAACAGGGTGTTTACATATCAAATAGAACCACTTTAGTCAAATCAATCTCTCTTTAAAGTTTTTCTTGGGGGTTGGGTCATACAGATGTTTTCAAGTAAATCTGAGGACAGTCTTGGTGTTACTTTTAATCAGAATCCTTAGAAATAATTGTTTCAAGTTGAACTCAGGTTTCCAGAAAATGTAGCTCATAACCATTAATTATTTCAGGTGGCAATAAAGATTTAACAAAGAACTAAATAGGTTTGTATAGCTTTTTTTTCCCCGAAATGAAATAAAATCATTTAAAAAACAATTTTTATGTCATTTTTCTGATGCTAAAAATTGTTTTATGATCTGAAACAACTTAATTGTGACCTAAAAATAATAGCAGATGGAAAAGTTAAGATGTTAGTGTTTATAGAACTGTTTATAAATAAATAAAGAAATGGGATCCCATAAACCAAAAGACAGGGCCAGTAATGTCGAACTGCAATGTTTATATTTATGAAGTATACATTTTTTTCTCCTAAAAAGAAAATGTAGACTTCAATTACATAATGTGGACACTGCACTTAAATAACTGGCAAAATGACAAAAAAAGATGTACACAGTACATTAAAATACCAGTCTAGTAACCACTTTAAGTGGTGTTTCTCTTCTACAAAAGACAAAATAAATAAATTCATTAAAAGAAAAGACAATTGAACTAGAAATTACTATTTCAGCCTCTGTTCATAATCCAGTTACCAATGATGATCTCTGTCATTCTGCAGTATGGCCTACATCCTTCATCACTCTACGAACCTCCACCCTCATGGTAGGGGTTATCAGCAGATTGATGAGGATGGTCAGAGCCCCGTCAGTCATGGCCACTCCCACGCGCTCCTTGGTGGCCATGGCAACACAAGCGTCCGCGCCGCATTCATCCACGTGCTCGGTGACCTGCTGCAGAGCATCGGCGTCATGGTGGCAGCGACCATCATCTTCTTTCGGGTCAGATATAGATCACATTCTTGTTAGGGTGAGGCTGAACCAGCAGTTTAATCCTGCTGGCCACTTAAAAATGCCTATGTAATAAAAAAGGATTTTTTTGTTTTTCATTTATTCAGACTTAATATGTTGCAGTTCAATTTTAAATGAAATTAATGCACCACTAAAATGCACCACTTAAATTTACTGAAATATATAAACATTGAGCAAAACATGGACTGTTTTTTCTCTTCATTAAAGACATTCCCTTTTTTCCATCATATGTCAGGAAGAAACATCATCTGAGGTTCTAATACTTTCTTTGTTTTTTCAGCCTGAATATAAAATTGCAGATCCCATCTGTACGTTCCTGTTTTCTATCTTCGTCCTTTTCACCACCCTCACCATCCTCAGAGACGTCTTCAGGATACTAATGGAAGGTATTGGCTGATCTATCACATAAAACAGTAAATATAAACATGCCACAATGGTCATTTTGGTTGTGAATTTGTTAAAAATGCCGGATCTAATTAATAAAGCAGCTGTTTAATAAAAGATTAGACAGATATTTCTATGAAACTTCAAAATTGTTTTAGGTGCATTAAACTAACACACTGATTTATAAAGTGACTGATAATCATTTAATAATATTCTTTCAACCCCAGTGAACTACATACAAAATGTGCAACTCAGTTGAAGAAATCCCAGCCATGCAGTTCAGTTATAAATAAGGTTCATATTTAGAAACAGTATATTTGTCTTGATCTGTTCTGTTTTAGTTCCATAAAAAAGCAACAATAATCCAGTGGACTTTGTTTCCAAGTTTTAAGACGTTTTACTTCCCATCCAGGAAGCTTTTTCAATTCAAAATGTCAGAAATAGCTTTAAGTTTGAGTTTATAGGGTGGACCAAAAACAAGCCTTATTTTGGCTTAGAAAACATGCAGATTGAAACGGACGAACGGAATCGGCAGTAGTTTGGGCTTTTTGTTAGCCTGTGATACCCAATACTGGTCTATTCCTCTGAAAGTGGGGTCGTTATAGGGAATTTTTGGCCTGACCGAACAGGTGAAATCTTCTGTTTCCCTGTGTGGGGTTGGGGTTGCGATGATAGCAGGTTTTATGCTTTTCCGTGGATTTCCTATGTTTGCATTTCTGTTTATTCTAGTTTTATGTTCTCTTTATTTACTGTATTTCATGATCTACCCAGCACTTAAATACTCCCCCAACAGCTGTTTCTCATTTGCTCAGCATGAATTCTCCTCAGTTCAGTCACTCCACAGTCAGAATCTCTGTTGCTAATTTGTTTCTAGGTTTTGATAATTAACATCTGTTCTCATCATGCGCCTTCTGTCCTCGTTTGTATGTTTGGTTTCATAATGACACGGTTATGTGGCAATATCTGCGTTCAGCAGTTATTGTTTAAAGCCCCAGCAGATGGTCACATCCTGAGGATTCTGTCCCTTTGAGCATTTCTTAACACATCACAGAAAATTTTCCAAAAGCAAATACTTGGAAATATTTCTGCAACAGAAGCATGCTGACAGCTCTATAGCTATAATTTAATCACAATATGATCTAACCAAATCCGTTTTGATTTTAAAATGCAGCTTGATGTTATAAGTAGCAGTGCAATCTGTAACACGTCAACCTTTCAGGATATCTGCACAGTAAGAGCCCTGCATTGCAGTAATGTGCAACCTTTTGTTTTTTTTTAGGATCTCCTAAAGGAATCGAGTTTAACTCTGTGAAGGAGGTGCTGATTTCTGTGAAAGCTGTGAAGTCCGTGCACTCGTTGCACCTGTGGGCCCTGACTCTGGGACAATCGCTGGCCTCTGTTCATCTGGCAGTAGGTAACAAAAGACAGAACAAACAGCAAAAATCCAAGGCCATGCCGCAAGGGTTTAAATCTCTCGCAGAGGGTTTCAAAGCTGAATGTGAAGCAATTTCTCGGTTAAAGTGAAAAAGAGAAATATCCGATGCATTTAAATGCGAGAGAAATCCGATGAGTTTAGAAAGATCTGATCACTTTTATGCAGGAGACATTTGAAAATGCTGACTTTTAGCCATACCTCTCATCTGATTGAAGCCTAAGATTTGTATTGGAAAGAACTAATATGAGTCCTTGTTTTGCAAAAGGAAAACTATATTTTAGTTTGTCATGTTCTGGAAATATGTAGCTGTCTTTTCTATGCTAATTTACTCTTCTTATAATTTAGGGCAGGAGTGTAAACTAACTGATATTGGAACATGATTTCTGGTTCCAGCGCTAGCTCCGCCAGAAAAATGGGGGTGGCCACAAAAGAATCAATGTGCATTAAGGGATGGCCAGAGAGCTGCACCAAAATCAGTTTACGGTATATTTAATCTACAGTAAACACACAATACAAATAGGGAAAATGATGAACACAACATCTGTACTTTCCAAATAAATCAGGACAGACCAGACAACAGACACATGGAGCAGCACAAGAAAGCCATCTTTGTTAGAAAATAAACCCCATCACTGAACCAGCTGATTGACTGAACAGTGTAATATCAGTAGAGTGGGAGATTGCAGTTTTAAATCAAACAAATACATATATTTGTTTTTCAATGTCTTCATTTACAAGGTTGGAGCAATCCCAGATACAATTTTTTTTATAGCAAATGTATTAGTATTTCAGATAGTTTCTGATGCCATTTATTCCAACAAAGTTCCCACAGAAACCAACCCACAGCATCACAATCCTTTTGATCATATTCTACTGTGGAGTTGTCTACATATTTAACCTTTGATGCTCATCAGACCCACCTGGAGGCTTTGTTTCTGAAACACTCAGGGCCGGATTTATCAAGATGCAATTTTGCGTGCAGTAATTTGCGCTCGCAAACTGGAATTTTGCGCGA